GCCAGGGGCCAGGGGTCTGAGCTCACCTCCTTGCCACCACCCGGACGGGCTCCCAGCACCACCAGTGCCACCAGCACGGCCCCGCTCCCCGAGGGCCCCGCAGGGCTCCCTCTGACACTTGTCCTGTGCTGGAGCAGCCACCCCAGGGAGGAGGCTGCCGGCCCCAACCAGCACTGGGGCTCCCCAGCCTCGGCACCCCCCACCCTCCACCCTCCCCAGAGCCCTCTCCAGGGGTACGCGCAGCTCAAGTTCAACAGTGCACCTCTGCGGGACGCTCTCTGGGCGTCCATCAGCCTGTCTGCTCCGCAGGGCGCTCTGCGCTGCTGCTCTGCCTGGGAACAGCTGTGTCAGCCTCGGGGCTCCCTCCTATTGGCTGAGCACCTGGGGGGGCCCTGTCCCTCGGGCACGGGGCCCCCAGCACACAGCTCCCCGGCCCAAGAGCAACGCCTGCCCCTCGCCTGGTCCCGCTCTCGCTGCCCGGTGCCAGGAGAGGCTCGCAGCAGGATGGGGCCGCCCGCGTGCGCTGCTTGCTGTGCTGACCCTGCAGGGCGCGGGGGCCGTGAAAGGTGCGTGAGGGCACCGGGGCCATGGGGTGGTGGGTCTGGGGGTGGAGGATGGGTGTGGGATGCCTTGGACCCATGGGGTGGGGGGGGAGTGGGGATGGTGTAAGGGTTGGAGCAGGACCCTGGGCATGGGGAGCTCTGTCCCTCCAACTGCAGGTAACCCCTGGGTGGGGATGGGCCCCAGGTGCACCCCAGGATGGCAGCGCAGGCTGCAGAGGAGGGGGGCCAGGACGCTTGTTCCTGGACCTCCCCTGACCCAGGTCTCCCTGCCCTCCTGCCCCTGAGTGCCCCAGCTCCGTGGGTCGGGTCCCTGCAGCACCCACTGCTCCTGGGTGTCCCTTCGCAGTGGCCGTGCCTGATAGCCTGGCCCAGGCGGGGTTATTGTGTGGGGCAGGACGGCTGGTGTTCAAGTCCTTGGGACCCTGGGACCTCCACCCAGCCCCGCAGCACATCTGGGGACAGGCCCCTGTGGTCCCCACAGCCTGTCACTGGCCCCGGCCTTAGGTGATGAGGAAGGGAAACCTCCTGATGGCATGGAGGTGCTGGAGTTGGGGGCTGGGGGCAGAGCGGGTGCCCGAGCACTTCCTTTCCTGGGGAGAGGGTGGTGTCAGCATCTGCCCAGCCCTGTGGGACCCCTGAGGGAAGGGAGAGGCTCAGGGGGGGCTGTTCTCCCCATCAGGACCTCACTGCGCTCTCGCAGTGTCCCCAGCGGGAACCCGTGGGGAGATGGGGTGAGGCCCGTGGCGGTGGGAAGGGCACTGACCCTAATGCCCGTCCCTTCCCAGTGGGGAACATGATAATCCAGGCTGAATTCTACCAGCGGGATGAGAGGCTGCAGCAGGAGGGTGGCGAGTTTATGTTCGATTTTGATGGGGATGAGATCTTCCACGTGGATCTGCAGAAGACAGAGACCATCTGGCGCCTGCCCAAGTTCGGGAGCTTCGCCAGCTTCGAGGCGCAGGGAGCGCTGCAGAACATGGCTGTAGACAAACAGAACATGGAGATCATGATGAAAAGGTCCAACCGCTCGCAGGCAACCATCGGTAACAACCCAGCCACGGCACGGCCAGTGCCTTCACCCCTGGGGACCCTGCCAGGGCCGTTGCTCCCGCACCCTGTGGCCCAGCTGGCAGCGGGGTGCACAGCGCCCTGCTCCCCTGGAGCATGTGGAGACCTGGGCACAGCCCCAAGCTGGGGTGCGGGGTCTCCCTGGGTGGGCGGTGGAGCACAGCGAGGCCGGCTCTACGGGGCAGGAAGCCTCAGCCCAGCCCAAGGCCGTGAAGCCTGGCCGACCCCAGACAGCACTAACCCCTTCTCCATCTCCCCCCAGTGCCACCCGAGGTGACGGTGTTCCCTGAGGACCCCGTGGAGCTGGGGGACCCCAACGTCCTGATCTGCTACGTGGACAAGTTCTGGCCGTCCATGATCTCCATCACGTGGCTGAGGAACGGGCAGGAGGTGATGGATGGCGTCTTCGAGACCGTTTTCTACCCGCGGGAGGACCACAGCTTCCGCAAGTTCTCCTACCTGCCCTTCATCCCCACCCGGGGGGACTACTACGACTGCCGGGTGAAGCATGAGGGGCTGTCCGGCGCCCTCCTGAAGCACTGGGGTGAGGAGGGGGGCTGGGCCGGGGCCCCGACGCCTGGGTCCCCTCGCCTGGCAGGCAGCGAGGGAGGCTCAGCGCCCCCTCCTCACCCACCCTCACCCCTCCGCAGAGCCTCAGGTGCCCCTCCCCGCCTCCGAGAGCACCGAGACCCTGGTGTGCGCCCTGGGCCTGGCCGTGGGCATCGTCGGCATCATCGTGGGCACCATCCTCATCATCAAGGCCATGAAGATGAACGGCACCCGCAACCAGCGGGGCCTCTTGTGAGGGGGCAGAGCCCAGGGCTCCCTGTCTCCCCCCAGCCAGACCTTCTGCAGCCTCAGCCAGCCCTCGCCTCAGCCTGGCAGGAACTGCTCACCCCGGTACCCCATATCCCTGCCCCACATCGTCAACACCCCCTTCTCCCGTGCGCACTGCACGCAGACATGCTGGGGACAGCTCCAGAGCCAGACCCGGCAGGGGCCCATCCCCACAGGGGCCTGGGCTGCTTCCCATGGCTGGGGCGAGCCGGGGTGGCACCTGGGGCTGCTCCGGCTCACCCGCTGCCAGGGGAAATTCCTGCAGAGCCCGGGAGCCTGCACTGGGCCCAGTACCCAGCCCACACCGCTGCCACGCTGGGGCTGCCCTGCCCACAGCCCCTGGCCCCCCGGCCATCGCCGGCTGGGGACGCGGTGCCTCCTCCCAGCCCCGATGCGGGGTCTCCCCTGCAGACCCCTGAAGGGAGGGGAGGTGTGCCCTGCCCCACAGCTCCCCCTCGACCCATAGTCCTGCACCCTCTGCTCCTGCTCTGCTGCTTTGTCACCACAATAAAATGGGTTGGGGTTGATCCTGCCGTGCGACCCTCACCGTGAATCTCTGCACCGTGCTAGGGGGTGGCTGCAGCTCTACAAGCCCCCTTGACGTCTGGGTGATCTATGGGATGGTGGGTCGTGGGTGTGGGGCAGGGCTCCAGGGATCTAGCTCTTGGGCAGAGGGAAGGAGTAGGGTGACCTCAGGACTCCTGGGTTCTCCCAGCCGATGTAGGTGGGATCTTAGCACCTCTAAAGAACA